CTTGAGAAAATTCATATGAATTCTTGACGATATTCGAGAGTCTGTCATTTACTTTCCTGAGCTTCAAGCAAATGAATTTCGCTAGTTTGTCTATTGCTCCTTGCTTGTTTTTGACCATTAGTCTTAGCGGATTTCCTGTCTTGTGTATCATCGGTAGTCTGTAGGCTGTCGGTGGCCTTGCATCATTTTTGATGAAAGATTTTTTCTTTCATTTGTCAATTTTCCCATTATTATGCATTTCCTTGAGCATATTCTTCAGTGTACTGTTGATCTTTGTAGTTTGATCGTTCCTTAATATTTGATAAATATTCCGGTCGTGAAGGCTACTTTCCATTTTCTCCGTGTATTGTTTCTTGTCCATTACAACCGTCGCCCACCCCTTATCCACCTGAAAAACTATTTGATCATCTTTTTGTAATTTTTTTGAATAGCAGCCAATCTGCTCCTGTGTATCGGTTCTTGATGTGTCAGGATCCTTTGGATTATTTCCATTTCCATCTCCCGCCTTGTATCTTCTGGATATTTATCCGCTATGTTGACAACTATGTGTGCCAACCCACATAGACATGAATAGAAAAGACGCGGTGGAGACGAAAGCTATTTGGCTAAAAATAGTCGTGTTTGATCATAGAAATGATCCTTGAATCACGACTATTGTTAGCCAACCAGCTCTAGCTTCCATTCTTTCTATCCTCTTTCTATCAATGATACCAAGTCTATGACTTCCTATGCCCTAGTCTCTTATGTGACAAACCACAAACTTTGTGGTTCAACATTGAAAAAAGTCAAAACAAGCATAACCACAACGTTCGTGGGATGGCACACAAGAGGCTAGGGTATGAGAAGTCATAGCCTTTGTTTTGATATAGAAACAGTATAGACTCGGGGGCGATGCGAGCTAGTGCGCTGACAGTAGTTTTTATAAGAGACGTGGTCCATGTGGCAAAGACCTGACCATGACACTTACTAAGGGGCCTGAGCCTCGAATTGGTTACCCAGACGAAGGGTAGGGCCAATATTGCCTTAAGTTGGCACAGATGGAGTGGCAGGGGTCGAATGAAATATGTGAACCAGAGAGAGGGCAGACGGATCTTACACGGCAAGATAGAGACTGGGGTAATACCTAGGAAAAAAGGACTGCGTAACAATATGGCAGACTCTGATCAACTTTCCCAGCACACGGATAAAGGGCGGTGAGGCCAGCGGGGAGTGAGGAGAGTGATCATGAAAGCCGCTAAAAAAAGGGCACACCGACCACATTTAAATAAGCAAGTAAGATATTGTGACAGTGAAGGCGTGATTGGAAGATATAGGAAATGTGAATAGGCTAGGGCAGAATGGGAGATACTATAACTGTTTTGCGCACGTTTGGTCAAAGGATCGACTTAACTTGTCTTTTTGACGAGTTGTAATATGGTGCTACGAATGGCAAAACTCACTGACAATGCCGCCTACGATGCCGGCGAAAGGTCTGGGAATGTACCACGTCCACGGTCCGACTTTGGAAATAGTTATGCATACAATGGACTCAGGACAAGGTGCGTTTCTATAAGCCTTCCTAACATTATGACCAAGTTGCGACAACAAGGTAAAACAACTTCTATACAACGAAATTAGACCGACCATACATAAGGCCACACCATCTTGGTCTTCATATCTTCGATCAAAAATTACTTATGCTTAATTAATAGACTGAAGGATAGAGAGTTAGTTGATCCGCCTGCAAGGAGGAGACTTCTTGTTTTCGTTCTAATGGTAGTCACTTCTCTGTACTTTTAGCTCACTTTTTCTCTGATTGATGGTTATAAGATATATGTAGAAAGGGGGAGATAAAGGTCATCAAAACTTGATGGCAAAAACAGACAATTCTTTTTGCTATCTTAATTATTTTTTTTCATTACTACGGGTTTCGTGAATAAGCGAACAGAAACAGGCACATACACATACAGAGACAGACACACATGCATGGAAGTTGACATATGACCTTAACTAACCAAATCACTTTATACTTGATTAAGATGTAGAGTGAAAGTGTTTAGTGAAGAGATTCTAAGGTCGATTCAACCAAAGGACGACGGTGGATTCCTCATGACCAGCCGCCGATTGTCTTTTTAGGGATTTGCCGGTGAGTTTTCTTGACTCGTTAGCTTGGTTTTTGTTGTGACGATAATACCTTGCTCTGATGATGTTCGTCATATGACGGACGAAAGCTTAGCACCTTTTTACTGGAATCTAAGGAGATTACCTCGAAAACGTTGACAGCATGTATATTCCAGTAAATCTATTTGACAGCTGATTTAGAGGAATCCGCCGTCCTCACCTGGTGGAACCGACCTTCCAATCTCTTTAAACAACACTTTCACTCGTAATGGAAGTAAGCTCAACAACTATAAAAGAAGAGATTCCTCAAAACATAACTTTTATTTGCAAGTTTAAATAAATAATTGAGAAATTGTGTTAGTTAAGGGATGCTACAAGATTATTGGATAGGAGAATAAACAAGGTCAAAAGTAAATTTAATACAACTGTCTAGCAGGCAATTTCTCTTCTTGCTTCTCAGGCAGTAGTATACTGATAAGACAGACAGGACTCATTGATTGTGTCGATTACGACGTCCCCGTTTATCATCCATACTTTGGAGTGCGGATATGGTGCGTTGTTTTAGCTCTTTCTCCAAATGTGACTTAGTTTTGAAAATAAGATCAAGCAACTTGTATACAACGATTAGAGACTGCAATCATATTAAAGGCCACACCATCTTTGTCTTTTAGCTTCCATACTTTATTATTATTTAAAATAACTTTAATTCATCTTTATAGGCCCCCCAACGATTCTATTTTTCAAAATATTCAATTTATTTTCAGCTTAGATATTTCTGACTTTTCAGAATCTGTTTTTTTAGTATAAGAGTTAGTTCGATTTGACATTTCTATCAGTTTTTCTTGTTTTAATAATTGATTTTTAAGTTAGCTACTTTTTTATTATTGTGAGACATACGGGATCATTAAATGAATGATTTTAGATCCTCAGACCGATTTCCTAATATTACAACATTTTTTTACTTCTGAAATAATTTAGCAAATGCGCCAATCTCTGACTTCAGCCACCCCGATTCCCACCAGTCCAGTCGGTCGACCTCGGAATGTTGTTGATGGTCTTTCCTCTATTCCCTGTCCAGGGTTGGTTGGATCATTATCCGGTACTGCTTCTTCTGGTTCACAAGATCAGCCCAGTGGATTAGGTTCCCCGAGCTCAGCAACTACGCCCTGCAATAGTACTGGTGGCCTCGGCGTGACTAATGCCTCTCTGGGTCTTTTGCCTGAGTTGACGGTCAGCGATATAGAGACACAGTTAGGGCCATCTCTGATGGCCAGTGGTGTTGACTCTACAGGCATGGATAGCATCTTTGGCAGTGTTGCAGAGCAGACTCCTCCCGGAGCTGTAAGTGGCGGCGGTAGTAACAGTGGTTCTGCTGTGGGAGGATTAGAAGGTGGGCTTAGTGTCCTGGGTGTTCCTGGCGGATTGGTTAGCAGCTTAGGAGCCACTGGCTCTTTGCCAGTTCAAGGGAGTACCACAACATATGTGAGCACCGCTGTTTCCTCGACCAAAGTCGCAGAGACCACTTCTATTGCTTCCTGTTCATCCTCTTCGAACTCTGCATCACCTATCTCCATTGGATCTGGATTTCGTGCTATAGGCAGCAATCCTATTCAACAATCAAACAATGGAGTTAGCATTCCTGGTCTTCCTCTGTCAACCTCTGGTGGTCTTAGCCCCTCGCGACACTCGATTGCCTTAACAGATCTTTCTATGGCTTCGCAATCACAATTGGAAGCTTATAACTCTGGACAAGGGCACCAACAGCATGTATTTGTTGGACAGTCTTTGACTAGTAGGCAATCTGTCCAAGGTCAGGTCATAGATGATCACGCTGTGGGTCATTTGCATCAGATGCATTCTGCGCAAGGGCACCATATTCAACTTGCAGTGGCTGGGGCCGCATCTTTTCTACCACATCGTGGCAGTACCACCGGACCTTCGGATCAAATTAGTCTCGCTTTGCCTCATACCTCGACAGCTTCTGCTTCTACTGTATTTACCCAAGCGAGTGTCATAACCCAATCTTCAGTTAATCAGCATCAGCAGCAACAGATACATCCTCATAATGGTGAGTGTCAGCATAATACAATGAGGTTAATAGCATCCTTGGACAAGAGTTTTTTAACAGCTTGCTTTTGCATTCATGAACGTAAGTCACTCTTCCCTTATTTATAGGAAGTTACCAAATTATTTTTATTTAGTCACTTATACAATATATGATTTGATTTATGGGTTTTATAATATTGCTTACTCAGCTCTAAAGGTTAGTAATGGCTGGTACGATAATCAACATTGTGCATTAATTAATTCTTTTAATAAGTCTTATTTTATCAAATATAAGAACAATGACTCCAATTTAATTCACGAAAAAGTATTTTTTGCTTTCCATGGTTGCATCTGCTTTGCTCTGAACATTTCACATTCATACGTTTGCTTGCTCTATTTAGGTTTGATCCACTGCCCAATTAAATTCTACATTTAGAGCTATTATGACTTTGCCAAGAGATCCTTGTAGTATAATATTCCAATCTAAATTACAATATGTATTTTCTCTTAGATTTCTATTCCACTTATTATGTTCAATAATCGATTCTAGCCATTATTTTAGTCGAACTCTCGAATATATATTGCTTTTTTAATAATTAATTTGTCTTTATTATCTTACGCTGCATGTTACTCTCTTCCATTTACTTTTATGTATTGTATTTTACCTCTATCTAGCTTCGTCAACTCAGACTAGCCCAGTATTGGCAATTCGTCAGACCGCTGCACCCGCCTCCAGTGTTTGTGTTCAGTCAATTTTGCCATGTGGTCCCTCAAATCGCATTTCTACCTTTTCCCAGCCAGATAACCTTTGCCTTGCATCCACTCCATCTAATCATCTTGTCGCTCCCTGCCTAACTGAAGCTATTAGCCTTGTTGGTAGTGGATCTTCTACTCCACATTCGCAAACAGCAATGCCGATTCAACAACAGCAGCAAACGCAAGTGCTGACAGCTGGAACTCCTGGCTCCAGTCCAAACACGACCTCGGGTATCAGTGGATTTGGAACCGGCCATCATCACCATCACCTTTTACCGGCAACTTCGAATGCATATCACACTACTTCTCCAGGGTTTGTCAGTCTACAGACACAACAACATCAACAGACGCCTCCTCCTCCTCCACCACCTTATCCAAGTCAAAGTCTTCGCCCTACATGGCAGATACACCAGCAGCACCAGCAACAGCAGCAGAAGCAGCCGCAACTGAACCAGCAGCAGTTGCTACAACATCACTTACAAGGCCATCAAATACTCCGGACTCTTCCTCCGAATGCTCAAAGCCTTTCAGCACAATCTACTGTGAGCCAGCGAATGCCAGGAATGCACATTCCAGTTAGTCAATCGCAAGCCACACTTTTCGTCTCATCTCCTGGATCTCTGGGTAGCTCCATTCAGCAGCCTCATCATCAACACCAACAACCACTACATTCCCATAGCCAACAGTCTTCTGGCATGATGCAGCAACAGGTTCTGAACAGCCGGTCTAACACAGTAGGGATCACTGCTTCCAGCCACCTAATGCTCGCCCCCTCCACCGTACAATCTCCCACACAGATTTATAGCTCGTGTCAACTGCCTGGACAGATATCCACTGATTCGGTCACTTCTGCCATACCTTTAGCTCCAGATCATCAGCATCAGCAACAACACACTCATCCACACCAACAGACTCAACTACAACAGCTTCATCAAAACTTGCAACAACAACAACAGCATTCTGCTGGCTTGCGCATTGTTCAGTCGTCGCCGGGTCTGGTCGTCGCCTCTGATTCCTCTGCACAAGCATCGCATTCTAACCCCACCCAGCTTCAACCGCATCTCCAGCAGCATCATCTGCATTCCTCAAGCCATCTACAGCAGCAACAACAGATGCAACAGCAACAACAGCTGCAGCAGCAACAAATGCCATCACAGGCGCAGCAGCAAAAAGAACAGCAAATAGTTCCCAATAATCATTCAAATGGTATTCAACAAAGCCATTCACAGTCGCCTCAGCAACGCCAACTGACTACACAATTGGCAGCTTATCCTGTATCGAATCATTCCATTAATCATCAACAAATGCAGCTTCAGCAACAGCAAAAGCAGCAACAACAATCACAACAAACGTTGTTACAAAAACAAACTCCCTCCCTTCAACAACAACAACCCCCAGTGAGTGTTCATCAAAGATCCACAGCAGGCCCTATTTCCAATCTTCAGGCTCCTTCCAGCTCTACCAGCATAAGGCAACCATTGAGTCAGCAGCTCTCAGATACATCATCTAGTAAGATAAACAGACGAATACAGACTATCTAATTATAAGTAGGCTTTTACTTTCAATACTCTATACTTGTGCAGGGTCATTTTATCCAGCTTTATGGGACTTTTCAGTGCCATAATCTATACCTGCTATTTTGTGTTTGATAAAATATAGTACTTGTGTATTGGCCAGGTACATTTTCTATATATACTGATACGATATTTAAT